ATTTGGGATTTATTTAATATTTAAATATCATTTATTAAGTTTTAATACTCATTGAAATAAGCTTTTCTCAGATTATCTATTCTAGACAGTATTTTTAAATTGTAATTAGTTTTATTTGTTTTTTTATTGGTGAAAGTATAAATTAAATATTCAATTGTATAATTTATCCACACCTGTTCTCAAGTCAGTGTGCTTTTAAATCAAGTTAATTAAAAAGTACTCATCTAAACTAGCATATATCTATCATTCGAAATGAATAAATCGCTCAAATTATTATACTATAAGTTAAAAATGATGATAAGTTGATTATGATTTTTTTTTGTGGAAAACTTAGTAAACTTGTCCATACTAGCTGCTGTTTCCCCTAATTTCGAATTTCATAATTGTTTAGTGTTTAACGATGGTATCGTCAAGTTAAAAATGTTTTTAATAATATATGAAATTATGGCAAAAAATATTTATTGAAATTATTTCGCTATATTTTGTTCCAGATTTTTCTTGAATTCGTTCGTTAATATATGATAGTTCGTCATGTGATTTTATATATTAAAATGTGTTCGAAGTGTTCCCTGATTTTATTATTATTCCTTTTAGTGTGTGCCTTTAATCAATTCATTCTCTGTTTGGCATGTTTCTCAGATTCATTAATTCTCAGAAATAAAACTTTCACTTTTAACGATTCAGCAATCGTCGAGCTGCATTTCATTAATTTTGAGAATCATTTTGTCATGAAATCACATGACGAAAGGCGAACTCTCAAATATATGAGAAAATAGTTCCTCAACCCAGAACATGATGGGAGTTTGTTAATTAAAATTAAAACTAGACGATCGAAACTATATTGACGAAATAAGCCGACCGGTGCTGTATGGTCGTCAGTGAGTTGTAATGTAATTTATCTCTCCATTCTGTTTCTAATTGCGCTGTTGGGGTGATATTCATATGGTGATCTTATATGGCATCCGCACGAAAAAGTGATCCACAATACCACCCGTTAGATACCCCTTCTTTTGGAAAAAAACAGAAAGGCAAAATATTTCTTTACTTTTAACAAAATTTATTTCCCTGAAGAAGTGACAATAATTATTTCATCACTTTGACGGAATTTTTACTCGGAGCTCTTATCAGAAAATGGTTTCTCCCAAAGCAAAGAAAATTTCGTTATAATTTTCGCTTTAATTTTTTTAATTACTTAGAATAGAATTAAATGCTTTTTTTTATAAAAGAAATGGAATTTTAACTAATTTATTGAATGGTTATAAATTGTTATAATACAAATTTCAATGCATTTATAAAAAGCTTGCCTTGAAAAATAGCTAAAAAAGTTTGATGAAGTAAATTAATGCTACATTTCCTTTTTTTCAACTCAGGAATGTAAGTTTTGAGAGTAAAATAAAAAATATAGTACATATTTTGCTGGAAGCTAGTCATTTAAATTACTTATGTTCAAAAAGAAGAGATGCTTAAACATATTGAAAAACGGGAAGTACACCAAAATAAAAATGAAAAGTTGCAATTTAATTTCGATAATATTTCAAAAAATCTTAAACTTTAATGAATGCATTAACAGAACAAACAGAACATTAACAGAACAAAACTTTTAAACAATAATAATAATAATATAAGAGCATGAAGTGAACTTTGTTATTTTTGATAAAATAAGCTTTTATATCTTTTTTATCTCATATAAATTGATTTTTTGTTCGAAAAAGTGTGAAAAATAGAATAAGCAAAAATAATGACCACCTGAGAAGAGTTATGTGAGATAAATTTTTCTATATGATACATTTGTTTTTGAAATATATATATTAGTAAATTAAAGGTAGATAATATTTTTTAAATAAATAGACTAATTACAATTGTAACAATTTTTTAAGTTTTTGAATTTTAGATTGAGAGTTTTTGGATTTTCTACTCCTAGTTGAAAATATTAGGTTCATTATTTTAATTTTTTTAGTTTATTCTAGAAATGAATTACTACAGTTTGCCTTCAGATTGTTTGAGTTTTTTTGGTGTTAAAACTTCCTTTCAAGCATTAAAAAGCAACATCTAAAGTTGTTTAATAATTTTCCTGATGGCGAACCTAACGTTAAATATTAAACTATATTTCGAACATCCTTTCATCTATTTATTTTTAATATGTTTTAAAGTGCATCAGTTAAAAAATTGGCATAGTACAATGTATTCAAAAATTGATTAAATAATGAATTTTATGATTTGTTTACACTGACCCTGAGTCACTGGCCCAGTTAAAAAGAAAAACAGCTATTTTTTGAAGAAAGTTAAGTAAAAAATCTCTCTCTCTTAACGTTCAAATTCGTACAGTTAATAATATAAGGCAGGCTAAAAAATATATGTTACAACCCTCCTTCTCCTAATTAAAATGTTATGGTTCATTATTTAACTTATGCTTTTCATTCCAATATTATGCTTTAAAATTTCAAACTTTTGGTTCATTTAAAAAATAAATGACTATACTTCAATTTGCTTTCAGTGTTTTTGAATTTATTGCTGATTTTTTAGAAAATAATATGTTATGAAACAATGACTAAAATTTTTGAGATGATAAAGTAAAAGAAAATTGCTGAAATATACTTTGAACACTCAATTCAACCATCTTTGTTTTGAGATGTATTGTTTCAAATTAGGAAAAGAATATTAAAAAAAAAAAAACGAACAAAATCATCTTAGAAAAGAAAGCATTCAATATCAATTAAAGTCCATGATCAGGAAAAATTAAATAAAGTCATAACTTTTTACTGTCTGGAAAAAGGATTAATCGCATTATTTTTCTAAGGATAAAAAATGCCAAAATTTAATGTTCAACGGGCAATTTTAAAAGAAGAAAGGGGCTAACTATTTTTAACCTATGTATACTTAAGATGGGCATTTCTAAGAACAACAAATGACATTTTTCGTAAGCCTAAAAAAAGTGTTTTTTTTTTTCATCTCAATTTTTTTAAACATATTTTACATGGAAAATGGTTAGTATGTTAAAATTCGCTGCTTGGTTGATCACAAATTTGACGTTAAACTTTTCTCATTCCATTATTTAAAAGTGAGGAGTTCTAGAAGAAAAATATCTCTCTGATTTTTTTTTTGATAATTATTTTAGAAAAGGTCCATTATTGTTTTAACTGGTTTAATTTTAAAAACAATATATTTTTGAAAGTTGAAAAATATACTATGAATTTAGAGAGATATTTCATTTCCTTCACTCATTTAACATAATTTTAAATTGCGATTTTCAAATAATTATTGAGTTGTATTTGAATTATGTTACTTTTGGGTTATGTTATTTTTTGGTGGCAAATTTCAGATTCCTACTAACGTAATTTTGAACTTACTCTTATGTTTAAGGAAAACTTGAATTGGTGCTTCTTTATGTCAGTACGGACCTTCAAAACGCCAACTGCTTTTCTGGATATTAGGGTTCCTTTCATAATACACTGTTAGAATTTTCATTTTAAAATTACGGTAAAATAACCGACAGCTGTCTGTTCAAGTAATTAACCGAAAAGTTTACAGTCAAGAACATTTTTTATCCGTTCCGTTCATTCTGTTTACAACTAGTATGGTTTAAAAATCGTAAAAAAAGTAATTTAACTGGGCATTGTATATAGTTTAGCAGCTTCATGGTGCTGCCCGTTTTTACGTGAATGTGAGTATCGCATTCTAATAGCCCAGAGTCACAAATTGGTAAGAGCAAAACGCTGGAAACTCTGCATGCGTTGAAGAGAATGGGAGAAATATAAAATCTACGCGAAGAATCGATCCCCCATTCTGTCGGTTTATGAGATTGACAGATTAGCCCTGTCCATTTGCAAGGAACTAAGTGGCTTCATTAGGTGAGCCTAACTAGTGCGAAAACATTTTGATTGGTCAATGTGAAAGCAGTTAATAAATGGTTATTCTGAAAATTAACATTTGGACTACCATCTTATCTGTCGCTATTTGACTGTTTTGCTTGAATGTGGTGACATAACAATTAAATAAATTGTTATTTAACCATTTTTTCTGAGAAATTTTTAACAGTGTAAAATTTTGCACCTTTTCTTTCAGAACTTTTGTTTCTGAATGTATACTTGAAATCAAAGAGATATGCACTAAAAAGTGTGCTTTAAGTTTTAATATTTATTTGCTCAAAATATAGATAAATAAACCTAAATATTACTGAAACATGTGACTGTCTGAATAGTTGTAATAAAAAAAAATTCAAGGCAAAAATTCAAATAAGAGAGAAATTAAAGAAGTTTACTCTGAGAATTAAGAACATATTTTTCAATTTATGCATAAGTTGTAGTTATTAAAAAATTCTTTTTTGAAGTGATTTCAATTGGATTTGACTCCTATTTAAAAAAATTGAAGATTCGAGGTATACAGTAAAAAATGAAGAATTTTAGAATAAGTTTTCTCTTCTTATTAATAAATTTTAAGAACCACTGTCGCTGTGTTGGGTGTTAAGTTTAGCGTTGGACTTCGTTATGCTGTGATAAAACCATATGTGTTGGAAGCTTAAAATTACGAAGGTAAATTGAAAAGTCAACAGAAGTATGATGTAATAAGTAATTATTATTCAATCGAGAAAATTGTCTTATGTCATCTATTTTGTATTCCTATGTTTAATTTTTTTCCATGTGCAGTTGAATATTTTTTAAATCAAGAGCATCATTTCCTTTGTTACGATTCTTAACGTGATGTTGCTACATGGTAATATAATAATTATATAATTTTTAGCACAATATTCTCTTTTTTTGCGTGGAAAATGTCCACTTTTAAGATAAAAACAATGAGGAATGTGAAGCAATCATGAGAGAAGCGAGTAGGGGAACATGGCTCCTAGTCTTCATCAAAATTTTTATTTTTTAAATATATTATTAACAACAGAGCATGCAGTTTCACACGGATATCACAGTGTTTCAAGAGAAACGTGTGAATCCTGTCAACATTTTTAATCTATAGATTGAAAATTATTGTAATATTTAAAAATTGTCACTTACCCTTAAAATTATTTGAAGAGACTCAACATAAGACATCTCTGTTTCATACAACTCAGACACAATATGTGTTCTTGTGTCCTAAAAAAAATAATATTTTTTAATGTATGATATAAACAAATTTGTCTTGATAAAACACAAAAAAAACATATTTTCAAGCCATTTTTTATTTCATATCGATTAATTTTTATTGGATCATAAATTTTTTTATGCAGATATACTTGATTAACAGAAATCCAGAAATATTTTACAAAATATAATCAATTTATCTATATATAATTCAATATTTAACTGTATTTTATTTCTGTATATTTTATGAAACGGTTCCTTTGTTTTATACTGTTAGAATTCTCATGCGAAATTATGGTAAAAAAACTGGCATCAGTCTGTCTATCCAATTAACCATAAAATTAACGGTGAGAAACAATTTTTACGTACCTATTTACAACTATTATGGCTATTAAACCTTGAATAGTAAACTATACGTTTCTTTTTTTACCATTTGAAAATAGCATGATTTCAAAACTATTAAAGAAAATAACTCGACATTGAAGCTAGGAGTTTCGTTAGGTAATGAGCATTGGAGAGGGCAGGACTTTAGAAACTCTTCATGTGCTGAAGGAGTGGAGGAAATATTGTGGTTTCAACGTTGGGACTCGAACCCCAGTTCTGTTAGTCACGTGATTGACAGATTAAATTACAGATGTACCCATCAGCAAGGAACTAAGCGCCTTCATTAAATGGGCTTAGTTTCGGCTTTAAAATTCTGGTTGTCTAACCGTATTGAGTCAAAATCAGGTAAAAAATAGTTTTTCTCACAGTTAGCAGTTTAAATACCATTTAATTTATGATTATTTGATTATTTTGTTTGAATATGGTAAAATAACAATTAAATACATTGTTTTCGAACCATTATTTCGGAGAAATTTCGAACAGTGTACTTTGAGGTGTTTAATAAACGTTTGTTTAATATTTTTTAAACTATCATATAATTTATATTTAATTTCAGGTAATTTAGTCATAGTTTCATTAAAATGGAAAATAAGAACCGCGACAACATATTACGGTATTTGCTTGTAAAATTATTCCTATTTATCCACTTTTATTTCATATTTAACGGTGTTTGCTATAACATTAATTTAATATAGCTTTTCATTATTGTTTTATGCTGTTATTTCTTTTAAGTTTTGATAATCTTTTAAAATGAAACGTTTTTTATCAGTTACATCTAATTTTATAAAATTTTTTAAGTTAAACTGTGCTCCATTAACGTTTGGAATTAAACAATAAATAAGTATAAAATTATTATTTTAAATTTCAGAGAAATACTAAGAATTCATTGTTCTCACTATTCTCAAATTATCTCTTTGATGAAACATACTTAACGCGCCATAACAACTAAAAATTAAAACAAATTTTGCGGAAAAATTAAAATTACAACAATATAAAACGACTAATTTTACACTCTATTTCGATGGAAAAGGAGCTTTATATGTAAAACCATATTCGTATCAATATAATGAAAAATTTTATAATCTTTTAATTGAATAATTCTTAATTTTGATTTAAAAAGGCTTTTATTGTCAGGAAATAGAAAGTAATCATGGCGCTAATGAAGGGCAATGAGTAGATGGCGAAATCTTTTAGTGATTACACAAATCATTTGAATATGTTTATCAACACATTCATTTTATACTGAGGAATAGATGATTAAAGCTTAGATTAAAGATGATTAAATAGTTTTTGCTTCTAAATAAATGATTGATTTTCACAACTTAGTATTATACGATAAAATGTTTTAAAATGAACAATTTGCAATTCAAATATTAATTAAATTTTTAATCGATATTTTGTCCAAAATAAGAATAAAAAACTTACTGAACTATAAATTAAAAACTATATGGCTTATTTATCGACATGAAATAGGCTTTTATTTCGATGAATTTTTAGTTACTAATTAGTTAAGCGACGTGCAAATTTTTCTATACTATTCCTTCTTCATTGATAAAAAAAGTATTATCAAAACTACCAGAATATGGTATTACCATGTTTTTGGCTCTATTGGAGCACCAAAAGCTTGGTAATTTTTACGGAACTGTTTTGTTAAGGATTTTGGCAAAATTAGCAATAAAATATGGTGTTTTAATCTGTGATAAAATTTGATAATATTTCGGAATTTTATCATAACTTTAGAATATGGCATAAAAATAATTTTTTCTTTTAAATATACTTTTCATTTTCGTATTTTTTACTAAATGTGTGGTAATAAGAGCTATAATTTTGAAAATCAGAATTTCCAGTTACCGTATAAAAGGTAAAATTACCAAAAGAAATAATGGTATAATTACAGCATATTTTGGTTTCATTAACCAGAGTGTATTGCTTTTTTACTAGAAATATCATTACCATACGATAGGAGATTTTACCAGAATGTTTTTTCTTCGTATAGAATACCCTGATAAATATTTTATTTTTGAAATTGGGATATTATGACTTTTAAAAATTTCATTTTAAAACTTGCATAATACTTTTATAAGTAAGGTAAGATAAAATTAACTTTCGTGAAATTTGCCAGCAATACTTACGACGCCTAAGCAGTGATAAATCCCACACTTTTTCACCTTTGTATTATTTTATGCTGAGAATCTTACTAATGAACATATTCTGATCCTCTGATCCTCGGAACGTGGAAGTGGTAAAATACAAAGTTTCTAAACTTTTGAAATTTTTTCCCTAAGGGACGGACTAATTTTGTTGTTGTAGGCGCCTATTTTCTAGAAAGAGGGTGCCTATTTTAGAGCACTCGAAACATGCCGACTGTTTCCAATCTGCATAATTTTGAAGCGAATGTGCTTTAATCATTAGTAATATCTTACCACTTCAGTTTCTTGGAATTATGCATTTAATAATATAGAACACTTTGTTTGTTGATATGAACATTTCGCTTTTAAACTTATAAGCTACTTTCAGCTTTCCGATGTCCACCCCAAATTTTTTTTTCACTCAGAAATTTGCAAGCCTGTACGTGTTTACAAATATAAACATGTTCAATGCAAACACGTTTACGCTTTCATGCTTATGACTGCTCCCTCTCTTGATATTTTAATTTTTTGCTGCAAAAGCAAATATATATATATATATNGAGAGAGAGAGAGAGAGAGAGAGAGAGAGAGAGAGAGAGAGAGAGAGAGAGAGAGAGAGAGAGAGAGAGAGAGAGAGAGAGAGAGAAAGAGAAAGAGAGAGATTCTGAAAAATGGCAATTTTACTACTAATTAGAGTGTGATTGTTCGAAAATTACCATTCTGTTTGAAATTAAATTAAGCATAAGCACAGATATTTTTTGTAGACAAATAAATAGAAAAAAAATATGGAAAAAATTAGAATACGAATTTTGTAGCCAAATAAATAGAAAAATAAATTGAAAAAAAAATGTTTTATACCTTTGTTTTGATGGAAGTAATTTTGTATGTATGCATATACCCAAGAAAAATTTCCATGATGACTAGACTGATATTTCGTAATGATGTTTGGAGCTAAATAAGAGTTATTTTTTCTCTATGTATAAATAATGAGTTTCAGAATTATTTTCAATATTAAATTATTAATACTCTTTTGTAGAGAGATAAATATCGATGCGATTCATGTCTATCAGACAAGATTTTGTGTTGTGAAATCTAACTATTTGTATTTATCTTGAAAAATGTTATTGACTCAGAAAATTAGTTAAAATAAATGTATTTTTTCTTTGAATGAACGATAGAAGACCACTAAAAGCATTAAATGTGAAGCACAACAAATGTAAACGAATTTCATTAAAATTTTTAGGTAAGTAATTATAACTCGTTTTAATTACTGCTATTATTACTTAGAAATTTCCGATATTAAGTTATTTTGAAAGGAATTACTAAATAAAAAAGTAAATAATTATCAAAACAATATTTTTTATATAAGCTATCTTTGAATAAATGTATTCTGTGAAAAAAGTTTTTGATTCGCTTAAGAAAATCCTCGAGATAAAACGTGCCCGCAATTTTTTTAATTTTTTATTTTAAAAAGGGGGTCTTGAAAATAATCGACTGCTCTTGCCTAAATTATTCAGACCATATTTTCGAGATTGCGACCCTTCATATTTCACGCCCTCAAATCAAAATCCACTAAAAAATACCTGTTTGCATGTCTATTTAGATAAAGTGCATTTCCGTATCTCATTTTGTAATTTGAAATATTGACTACTCCTGTTCATTGGCAAACTTAACGTTAAATCCTCGAACGATAAAGGTGGAGTGAAAATTCGTTCGTTAGAATAAAAGCTATTCAGAATGTTAACTTTTTTTGCACTGTACATACACAAACGTCATATAATATTAAAGCGTACAAAAAGCGTGGTAGTAAAGGTCGGATTAATAAATTACAAAAAATTAGAAGTCATCATTAGCATGATTGCAAAAGAAATTGGAACCCATTCTCAAGACTCGCGGGGTAAGAATGAAAACTAGAAAAAATCGCGGTAATCAATCATGTTTAAAGAGACATTACGCTGACAATCAGGGCAGATAGCCTTTTTTCTTGCAGATGGTGAAGAACTCATGTTGCCAACTATGGAATTGGCATTCATATGAATGAAACAAATTTAAAGGGCATCAAGATGAACTGATGTGATAATAATTTTGGCTTTATTGAAATTAAAATCATGTCAAGGTTCTAATAATGTGCGGAAATGGATTATTTATCAAAATTTTGATGACGGATGTATCAATCTTATTGCTTTTCAAATTATAAAGGGCTTCTTAGTTTCTCCCCTGTTGCCCAAATAGTCTTCATCTTTATTTGCGTCAGAAATAAGCTGAAGAACTTTCAACTCTGGCACTGCCTGCTTACTCATGTCTTAGAACAGTTTCTAATACAAATGGATTATAATATATCATATTCTGCTTTAAAAAATAGAACTTAAAAATTAGATGATATGCCGAGGAAATTATCACGCTATATTTAGCAAATTATTCTCTTTTTCATAATAATATTCTGATTTTAAAGTTTAAAAGTGGGTTTAAAGAAACAAGCGATATTTCTAGACAATTAAT